TGATAAAGTATAAAAAATAACACTTATCCTACAGATGATTGTGTGTGTGTGTGCATGATCGTAACTTCCGATAATGCCATGAGTTTTAAATCTGAAACACTGAAGTTAATGATCTATAATATTTAACGTCAAAGCAAGACACATCATCTGATGCATATGTTGAAATGAGGCGTAAAAATGACATACCTAGGTTGGGACTGAAACTTTTTCTCTCATAGACCTTCAGTACGCATGCGCTTTACAAAATCTAGTAGTAACCTGCTTTCATCGCATCGAAGAAACTTGAATATGACATTTATATGAGTTTAAATAAGCAGCATTAGGATTATAGGAAGTGTTTATTCTATCATCCAAAACGTTTTGATACAAAGTCATCAGGTTACCAGGTTAATTTGCAGCAGATAGTACCAGTAGTAAATTTACATAGTAAAAGACTGAATTCGCAACTAACGTCTTCACAAGTCTCACTTCAAGGGACGCATCTGGAACTAAATGATAAAGCAAAATACCACATCCTTTTCCTTGATTACCTCTAATTTTTTCCATGTACTGTTCATTAGTTCCTGACAACTCTGATGCCATACAGAGCTCAAAAACGAACAGCATTTATCTGATTGTTAGTAAGCAGCGCACTGGACAATGGATGATGTGTTAGATGCATAAAAAGGGCATGAGATATTTACTTTGAGTCAAGCAGAATTGCGATCCCATTGCTTCTTAAATGAAGTGCCGAAAGAAATATTTTATCCTTCCTTATGACCTTTGCCGGAAGATTACACTCGAATTCTCTAAGTGATGACCAACCTAACAGTGGTGGCCATTCTAGAGCATTCAGAAATCTGAACACCTAGAAACATATACCAGACTGCAATTAAAATCTGAGCCTGCTCCATCTTTAATGTACTGTCAACTGTTGAAGCCATTCCTCAATCAGTTAATTGTTTTGAAAATATATTGTGCGGTTACAGATGGTTAGATGGAATAAATCCACCTAAGTAGATCATAAAAAAACTTAACCAACTAATTATTCACTAATTCTATGACTATAACTGCCTGTTTAGTTTTTAATTTTTAAAGAGTCACTCGTTTGTATTCTTTGCTTTCTTTTTCCCCTTTTATTACCGCCTTTTGACTTCGTGAAACATTATTGATTGCTGGTAGTTACCACCATTATTTCGAGTACATTCATCTTGTTTACTGATTTCTGTCTTGTTACGTATTCTCAAGTTTTTCTCATACTTGCAGACAAACAAACTGATAAGCGAAACGGCACCACATTAGAAAAAAGATCAGGGTGACTAGGATAGAACGAAAAGCAAACCAACAGGTTTTCGACAATTGGTTTTAACCGTTGAGGGTTTGAACTACTTGGTGTGAGTCTTTGAGGTAATGAAAATTAGGGGTTAGCGATTCTCGAGAATGTGGCTCAAAATTTGTCACCACAGCGCAGATGTACAGATTTCTTGTCATCTTCAAAATTTTGACCATTTTTACTAACCATGTATTTATTAGGTCTCTTGTCATTCACTACATCTACTTAAATATAATTTTCCTAATGCTTGTGCTATTATGATGTGCAGTGGCCTGAACTGACGTCTTTTTATGCAAAGATCCTATTTGATCTTGTTTTTTAATGCAATGAAAGGTCATCCTCGAGCATATTTAGATTTCTGTATGCACCATCTACGGGTAGGTCAACTACAGACTAGAGTGAAACTAGTCAACTGCTGTTGGTGAACATATTAAAAATTTAGTTTTGGTATTTCGTGTACTACCCCAGGTTTGTTCATCATTATCCACCTGTGTGCAACGAATTCACCTCGACTTATTTCAGACTAAAACATGGCGCAATACACTTCAACTGATAACAAGGCTAATCCCCATAAGTTTTATATATTAAATAGATGAAAGAAGAATTAACATTGGATCTATCATTTGGTTCATTTACCTTTTTCTTTGATTATCTGTTGAAATAGGACAACTAAAAGTTGCAAACACTAGCTTTTAAACTGTACAGTGAACCTGTTTTTGATTTTTTTGCAAAGTAGTTACACTGATGAGTTTATACTAGTAAAATAATGGCAGTAATGGAGTATTTTCGTCCCACATTTATACCGTGAATATCGTATTTCCAGTCATCATTAGATAAGTAACATTGAATCTGTTTTCATATTGACGAACCTTTATCCACAATGATACTTTACACATTCATCAGCATTTTTAAATTACAATTACTGTGTCATAGTAATGGAAGTTTAAAAAGGTAGGTACTTGTTGAATCATGCCAACCCGCTTCTTTGTTACTTATACGAGAAAGTTATGCACTTTTGTACTAAGTGATGAGGAGAATTTTCACCCGGAACGTTTTAATTAGCATTTGTGCCACACTTATGTGAGCATTCCTCTCATATAGGGCTTACTGCAACAATTGTGATAGATCCCAAAACGTATGTTATCTCGCATTCGTGACTGATAAATGAACCAGCAGAAAAGTATTTAGCACTTGGGAGAATAAGTATTGAGTTAAAACAGACTTTACTTAGACTAAATTCAAGTTGTTGTATATTGACCGGTCTACCACCTTAATATAATTCCTAACACTTTCAAATCCTACAGATTACAATTCAATCTAATTCTAGCGCCTGAGCCCTGAATTTGCTTACCTAAATGGCTTTAAAGCTAGGTAAACTTTTTAAGAAATTCCTCTTAATTATATGTGTTACTGTTTGAGGTGGCTGTAATTTTGTACACTGGTATTTGTTATATGAGATGGTGGTTGCAGGTAAAATGAAGGTCTGATATGCAGCAGGATTCAAGCTGAAATGGCAACTCTGTAAGTGAAATCAAACTAGACATATGGGGTATGTAGAGTCAACCTCATACACAGCCTTGTCTGAATCTGCAACAGACGAGAGTAAAATTGCTGTAGATTGGAGGAACCGTGGTGTTTTATAAGCTTGTTCATTAGTTTACAAATATTTTTATGTCCCAAGTCTTTACTAGCCAATTTACTTTATTCTTCTCTGAAAGAAAATACAAAATGTAATATAAGACACCAATTTAGAAATCAACAGTCATACTAAAAACATATACCATATAAACTTTGAGATGTGATTAATTTTGACCATATGTTGAATTAAGTTAGAACGATAATTCACAGATTATAAGTGAAGAAAGCGTCTCTACTAGGTCATTCATTTTGCTTCATTAAGATTATGAGAGTTGATAAATTAATTGGAAACTGTAAGGACTGTGGGAATTTCTATGAGGACTTTGACTTAGTTTATGAAGTTAGTGCTAATGGTAGAAATTTCGCTATGAAATGTCTGAGTTTTGAAAAGTAAAACCACTGCCATTGTCATTCTGAGACTATCGTCTTCCCTATTGTTTTACACGTTAGATATAATATGTAGTATGAAGACAACTTCTAATTTTACACAATATTTAAACTCCTTTTCCTTATGACTGAATAGTTTAAATGACCATAGCAGTGATACATGCTTTTGAGGATTTAGATACAAATGTTGCTGATGTAATGTATGTAAAGTAATCTTAAATAAACTCACCCTTTCAAAACTTAGAAGCCTTAAAGTTTACCACTTTTCTTGCCCTTTAAACACCACCAAACTGCGTTGCTTTTACCTTTATGTCAATGGCCTAGTGTTCTACGATGATAATTCATATAGCTGTTTTCGGGGAATTGTTGCAGGAGTTTGAATAAATTAGCGAAATCGTCTCTAAGATCTTATCTGTCGTTTCAGCTGAACAAATATTCCACTTTTTGTATTATTTGATACTATTTGTCGTGGTGATTTTCTTGACATACGTGATGACCACTTCTCATGAAGTTAGTATGGCATAACCACGAACGGATTCATAGTTTATGTAAGTGTCTTATCTGACCTAAAACGATCCTAATATGCTGAATGTACCTTTTAACAGTATAGTAGCTGTAAAGTCTATGAAACTCTTCACTACCTGTGTTTTATGCAATGCTGTACACCGGTAACGTTTACATGGCTTTAATTTTTTCAGGATTTCATATGTTTCTTACAACTAATGGTGAACATTTACATATGAACGTATTTCAAGTCATCTGAAAATTCGTTGTTGTTGTTAAGAATTTTGATGACAGAAAAAATCAGTTTTTTTTGAAGGTTTTCCTGGTCTTTTGTAATGCATTTAACATTATCAAATTTAGTCAGTCAGTTTTGCTGAACTACTAATTGTTAGCGAAGAGTTGTAGAATAATTCTAGAATTTTTATTTATTAGTCCTTTGGGTTCCTAATGGAACATAGGGCTTCACTAGCACATCTCCATTCTACTCTGTTCTCTGAAATCTTTTCAACCTGGCTCCACGACAGCCCACAAGCTCTCATTTCCTCCTCGCACGATCTCCTCCATGTCACCCTCAGCACCGACGCCCAGCTCGTCGCTTCCCATGGGGATTCCACTCGAGGGCCTGGCCTGACGCGTGATGTCCCCAGTCGGCCTTCTCAGTGTATGCCTAATCCATCTCCACTTCATGCTGCACATTTGTTGGGTGATAGGTTCTTGGTTGGTTCGTTCCCAGAGCTCCTTGTTGCTTATTCTTTCTGGCCATCTGATCTTCAGTAGCGAGCCAGCGTAAGCAGTTGTTGATGAATGTCTGTAGTTTGTTGGAAATCTCTTTCGTAACGCTCCAAGTCTCTCAAACATACAGAAGCACTGACTTACTTGACGTTGGTGTTGAAAATCCGGATGTTGTTCCGCATGCTGAGTGCAGAAGGTCTCCATACTGGTTTCAGGATAATGAAGGCCTGTCTTGCTTTTCCGATTCTGTGACTTTGACATCCTCGTCTGTGCCGCCACATGTAGTGACTGGAGTTTGTTAATTCTAGAATTACTGGTAGCATATTATAAATAAGCTTTTATTATTTTTTCGGTCTTTTTTTTCATTTCTCTTCCTACAATTCTTATTCTTGTCTTTACTTTCTAACATTTTTTAAAATTTATTCCAGATATTGTTATTTAGAACCAATGGAATTGAAACATAAAAAGTAAGTGATGCAATTTTGTGAACACCTAGTTCTTCTTACAAACTTAGAAAGACCACGCCAAATGATAGAACACTACTTCTAAACATATGAAGTTCAAGTTAGTATTCATTAAGGTCTGACGTCATTTGGGGAATCATTGAAAACTTGGGGACAGTGGAAACTTGTTTCGCCCTTTATGGAGCTCCTCAGTAGCGTGCACCTATGACGCTGCCTGGGATCGAACCCAGGAACTTAAGGTTCCAAAATGAGCCACCTGGCTGGGACTGCAGTTGTATTCTTCAGTCTAATACCTCATAGACATAATCATAGACACCATGATTTGAAATAGAAATGCATTAAAAAACATTATCAAATAAAAATGTGGAGAAAAACACAGTAGATAGTAGTCTTGGAGCTTACCAGGTCAAGTTAAGGTGGGAAAGGTTGAAAGAAACGGTCAACATAGTAGAGAAAACTTTATGTATTAAAGATGAATTATATTTTCATGGAGAAAACAGAATCTTAGCTGATAAAAGCTTGGTGATAATTAAGTGCTAAATGTAGGGAGTCATACTGAAGTTGAGTGAATAGTAACAAGAGGATACTATTTACGAAATAGTCTAAAAAAACCACACTTAGTACGACTTACCAAATCTTCTGGGAAGACTATGTTTCCTTTTCTACCTAGTGAGTATACTCACAAACTCTCCATAATTGAAAACATTTTCTTACTTAAATTAACAGTCTTTTTATATGAGTAAAGATGAAATCGAAGTAATGAAGCATGGGATCTTTCAGTTTGATGATGGATTTATTTTTTCAAGATTTTGTAATGATTAATTAAGGAGGTTGAAAAATGCAGTTTTTTTTTAAAACATTCACTGGTGACGCTTTTTGTAGAGATTGTGATACTTAACTTTCAATGGAAGAGAGAGGAAAATTGCAGTAGAGAGATTGAATTAGAAGAATCGAACGACTGAAGTTCTTTTTAACTCGACGACTAAATGAGCTACTAACATCTTATACTGTCATCATGAAACTCTTTTGTTTATTGCATGATAATAATTTCAGCTGTAAAGTAGTGAACTATATTCTAATAGGTGTCAATAATCCACCTTTGGTTCCTCCATACTAGCTATCATCCTCGTAGAGTATATAAGGTGGGTAAATCAAACAGTTACGCTTGACGATTGAAGGTTGTCTTCATATAAAACGGGAGGAATATTCTGAAATACTGTTTCACTCGGTTTGACAGTCATCATACTACTTTACCAAAATAAAATTAGTTCAAGCATTAGAGAAGTCCCAAATAAGATAAATGTTTGAAAATTCCTCTGTGTTTTTCTATGATCAAATGGGATTGTTTAGATATTTGAAGAATAACAAGGACCCTATTCGAAATTTTTCAAATAGAAATATCAATATTTTAAGATCTCTGTGTGATCCCTATTAATAAAAACCTTGAACTGGAAGATGACAGACAGCTGAATGGTTATCTAGCTTTCCTTAGTGAAAATGTTTCAGCAGGTACTTAGAGAAGTGCACCACGAAATGATCACTATCCCATGCTTAGCTCGGCCATTTCACGATGCAGGTTTCTGGCGTATTTCGTCAGTATCATTAACAAGTGAACCGTGAGTTAGAACACAATATGTTGTCAAAATATCTAGTCAATCTACATACTCTCTCTCTGTCTGTCTGAAATTATTATAGTGCAGGCATTTTTAATAGCTCTGTCCAATAACTAACCGATTCTTGTTATATTTTCCCCTATCATGATTAAATTGTTTATAGACTGTCGTCATCTGTTTACACGGTTTCTTCAACATTATCAGAATCACCGGCGTCTAGTTCAATACAGTCTGATGCAAAATCTATTGGTGCTTGTTCTGATAACAATTTTAAACCAATAAGTAGTAACTTAAACGGGCACCTGACAGTCATATTAGACAGTCCTAATGTAAATGACAATGTCAATAATGATGACATTGTGGACACTTATAATGTTAAAACTAATCTGTACTTGGTAGATAATCATACTAATGTTACTATTACTACTACTACTACAGTTGTAAGTAGTGTGCATGATACGTTTGAATTTCTTGATGAAAATATTAACCAAAACTTATGATTTTAAGCAAGCAAAAAAGTAGGAGGCGTTTTGTTCATTATATTTTGGTTAACAGTGGGCATATTTCAGTACAGCATGTATTGTAAAGTGCTTTCTTTCAGTTAATATCATTTTTTTATATTTACTGTGATCACTTTTTAGTTCCGTAAACATTTTTACGCTGAACGCCGTTTGTTTGACAATAAATGTTTGACTAACACTTATTTCAATATGTATTTGAATAGATTATAGAAGATATACGAATGTCATCAAGGTGGGAAGGCTGAGAGATTAAGCAGTGCTGAGGTTTCAACTGAAGGGTGGTTCAAAGATTTTCTCTCTTTCGGTTCGGTTCTTTTTCTTCATTCGTTTCCTTTTTATTTCCATTTTTGTCTGATGAAAGATAATAATCTTTTGCCCATCTCCTTCTGCTGTTTATTTGCCTAGATGTATCTCCCCTGAAATGGATGACAGTTGCAGTGAACCTAGTTCAGAAAGTGAAACTGAACTAGATGATGATATTCCAGAGCGAAGACAAGATGCAAATGCCGATTTACCATCTGAATATTGGCAGATTGGGAAAATGATCAAATACTTGAAGGTAGGTTACTTCATTTACTTACTCTAGTACAGTGGTTTTCTTCATAATCAGGTGACTGATAAGTTGTAGCTTTTAGTTGTAAGCACATTTCTCAGTTGTTCGTCATAGCTGATGAAACTGTGGAAATAAAGAATCAGATTTTGATTGAGAAATATCAAATTAAATCGATTGAAGTACATGGTTTACTGTTATTATTGAGAAAAGTACGGCTGAGGCAGTAAAGTACTGAAAAATTGCTCATTCTCCTTTATAACTCTTGTTAGCCAATCGAAATTGAGCAGACTTATTCACTTACAGTAAAAGCAAGAAGTAAAAGGCCTACAAATTAGCTCCAGATCTGTATTTCAACAGAAATAAGTGACGAACCACTAGCAGCTGACGTATTTTATTTTTCTACAAAATGGTGCGCTCTTTTGTTGATTTTTAATCAAATATGTTCTTGTGATGTAAACAGTTATAAAGTTTTAATACCGATGGATAGTGGCTAGCAGTAGAATCCAGGATACGCGTTTCGTCTTATTTGGGACTTGTCGGCTGGATGTATTCCCTTCTCAGTGAATGATGTTGCTCCTATTGCGATTTGGACTCGGGAGCGATCGCTTCAAATGCAAGAGCGTTATCCACTGCACCACCGAGCCACTATAGCTACTTCTTGTGCGACGGGTATAGTTTTAGTATTATTGCATTACAGTATTATAACATTACTGCTATCCACTATCCATCATTACTATAATTGGAACACGGAGCCCATATGCCAACAGAGATCGATAAATTCAGTCCAGTCAACGACGGGATAATACAAGCAATGATACTATAATTATGAAATTTGTTAGAAGCCCTTAATAAACCAAATGAAATTCAACAGACCATTTTAAATCTCAAGGATTTGGTTTGCATATTATGCTGATTTTCTAAGAAATGCGCATTTGGAAAAAAACACTTTCATTCTACGTATATGATTATTTTTCTGCAAACTCCTCAGAAATCTTTCCATCTAAAATGAAGATGAAAGTACTAACGGGATGAACAGAAATCTGAGTATGTTTGATATACGCTTCACACCTGTCAACTGTAAGATGATCTTTTAGGAATGATCTACTTCAAGTACTCCTAGTTTAATGATAGATAGTGAGTGAAGTGGTTGAATGTGTCGTTGACTTCACTTACTTGAGAAGTTGTATCAGCCTAAACGGGTTGGTTGCTGACGAAATCCTAGCTGGAATACAGAAGGATCGTTTGGCATTTACGAATTTGCGTCATGTGTGAAGCTAACTTATGAGATATCCGACTACGTTTCAAAGGATGAGTATACTGATATACCGCTATGAGACATAAGCATTAAAAGTAGAAGACACGAAGTGGTTACAGGGCGTTTATCATGTGTGTCTTTGTAGCACTGGTCGTCTTTGGTGGAATCACTATGTGAGCAGTGTCGAGGTCAGGTGAAAGGTACAACGGAAGGAAGATAAGTCAACTTATGAGATTATGAAAATTAGTCGACTGAAGTGGCTTGGATATATACTGAGCATACTGAACCACGACCTACCTCGACGTCCCGTGCTAGACGAAGCTGGATTGGATTAGAAGAGGGTTAATAGTTGCTGGACGAACATGTGGCACCAGTCTGTGAATTCTCTGACTGTTGGTTTAAGTCACGTGGGTAGATGTAGACTGCGTTGTAGGGCCCCCGAGATGGGAGAAATCAATAGTTGAAAACTTTTGGTGACATGGCTGAAAATCAGTCACAATGATGCAGATATTTTCACACCTTGACATCTTCTTAGGTTTAAATATTCGCAGTAACTGTCATCTTCAGATTGTTTATTCTCTCATACTAATTTATCTATTTCGATATTACTCTTTCTCTATCTACCTGTTTTTTGCATACTACTGTAAAATGTTGCAACGTTAGTCAATGCACTGGTTTGCGAGGTTCTTCAATGATTTTGTCAGTCAGTTAGTGACCAACAAATATGCATAAAGGCTTTCTTACAAACTGCTTCCATGCTTCTACCATATGAACACTTTTATAAACTGAAGTCATTGTCTAAATTTTGTAAATTACCTTTATTTCTTTAATTCTCAACATTTTTCAAAGGCTGGAAATCAAACATCAACTATTATATCTCTGTGTGCCCTGAAAGATATGCCTTTAAAAACTGAAGTTTGTCAGTTGGCCGTTCGTGATGTTGGTGGAATTGAAGTTCTTATTAATTTACTTGAAACCGATGAAATTCGCTGTAAAGTAAGTGAAACTGATAAATAGACTAAGGAAAAACTAAAATTTAATTGTTCAATTACACGTTTAATCTCTTTAGATCGTCTGAGTAAGGTTAAACTATTCATTAGGATAGGCTAAGGTTAGAAAAAGAAATACTTGCGATATTGGAACATCTTTACCCAATTTCACTTGCCTGTTGAATTATTCAAATCAACTACTGAACCTTGAACAAGTAAATTCAGTTCATTATAACAAATCATTACCCAAAATTTCAATTAACAGACTTACTAGTGAAATGAAAACTTCAGATGAACGAATTATAAGCAAAAGTTAAATTATAGAAATTGTGAGTTTCATCTGGAGTGAGTTTACGTAGCAGCAGATATACTTTTCAAGCATCATTGTGTCTAGTAATATCACATTTGAGTGGATCTTTCTTATAACAAAATCATCTGTCGAATGCATACCAGTCATTATAAAAATTTCATTATATCACTACCAACGACATCATCTTATCATGAGGTGGTACAAATAATCGTTTTTGACGGTACAAGACAGACAGTATTCGTATCAGTCTAGTCTATCAATAAAATAGCTAGGTGTACTGACAACAAAGAATCCTGTCTCCAAACTCTACTATCGACATTATTACTCCAAGGTTGTATTGTTATGATATTCATAGGCTCTTATTGTCATCAACCTCAAGGCTTCAACTAAGATGCATTCTGTTTAAAATGGTTTATGAGCTTTGAATTCAGAGGTGTCTTTATCTACTCTGAGTACATAGATACCATTAGTTGTATTCAGCGACTAAACCTACTGTGGTTACATATATATGTATCCAGGAATATAACTACATTTTAGCTAAAGAGCTAGATAAGTTTGTATTGAGAACATTTGGTCTGATGAAAAAAGTGATTCACAAGCAAAACCGATTGACTTTTAATCCATAAAATACCTTAGCTTCAGATTATAAGCTTGTTTTTAGCTTCAAGGATGTGCATAACTTTTGAAAGCGTGGAAATGACTGTAACAAGTTTTATGACAACAGATGAACTTAGTGAAAAAATAAAAAGGTCTCCAAAATTATTAATAACCATTGATTACCAAGCCATGGCAGATTGTTATTCAATAGCTTTGTCAGTTAGCTACTGCTGTTACTAAGATGTAGTATCATAAAGGGTTTGTGAAAATAACGCAGTTATGCACTTTATTTCTATATATACTTGAACTAGAAGCCGCTATTACAACAGTAAACAGATGCTGTATGGATCATAAGGATATAACGTTACATAGATGTTTTAAACACACTTAATTGTTGTGTTTGAATGGTGGTGAAACCTTGCTTGACAGATTCTTACAAATAATCTGTTACTATTCTATTCAGTGAATAGTAAAACTATGAATACTCAGAATTTAGTCCAGTCGGAATCCAAATGAAAAAAATGACATTAATACATGACAGTTCAAGTCGTCGCAACTCTTGGAATGACTTCATTGTCTGTTGTTTCACTCATGGCATCGCAAACTTCCTTTTTGAGAGATGTAAGAATTCAGTGATAGAATTGGAAACAGTATAGCTTAAGAGTAATCCTATCAGTTTCGTGCTGTATTTCATAAGATTTCTGGAGTTCTTCCTTAACCTTTAAAAAATGATTTATTTTTCTTTGATGATCTACATCAAAGAGATTTTCTTCAGTGAAGGTTTATTCTGATTTAAATTCTAAAAATAAATCCTGTTTAAATATGTACGTTTGGATAAATGTGTTTTCAGTATGACTACCTAAGGGAACCACTGTTTTGCAGACTCGTATTTATAATAATGGATGATGATTAAAGGTAAGATAAGAAACTTGATCACGGGAAGATTTGGATCAGCTACCTACACGTTACCAATTTGTTCAAATTTTGCCGATCTCACAGATTTTCATTTCACCTTCAATTATAACCGAGTATCAAAAGTCTTATTGTCAAACTTTCTCCACATTATTTAGAAGAAATTAAATAAAGTAAATTATTCAGCTTATAGTAAATATTTGAACCAATTGTTCATGATTATCGAATATTCTGTAGATGATTCCTACTGAAGGCTATTTAAAAAAGTGAAATAAAACAAGACGAGTGTTCAATAATCCATGAATTTCAGTGCTTTTTTAATTAGTTATACTGTTTTAAATCTGTCCCAAGTTTTATAAAACTCTCTTTAAAAATAAACTTGTTTTTACATGTTAATAAATATCATAAAATCATGATTTCCAAAATAAACTTACAATTGATCATGAATTGAATTTTGTGGGAGTTGTGGGGATTTGGAAATATTTCAAGTTGTTATTCATAGTAGACTGACATCAGTTGGAGGAACAATGCCAACCTGGGAGCACTGGACAGCTGTTTCATCCAAGTGTGGGACCGCTCAGCACTGTGCGTTCATGACCCCGAACCACAAGGGATCGAACCGGCGACCTCTAGGTTCCGTGGCCAGCACGTCACCATTGAGCCAATGGCTCAGAATCCATTGATCCATATTCCCAACTTCTGTTAGCTCACGATTTAGTGCAACCACCACCCAATATCATCGTTGAGTAACTGTCCTCACGACCATCAGGCTTTGCCCCCACCGCAGTCCTATACTATGGACGCAACAGCTATCCAGTGCTCCCAGATTTCCATTGTTCCTCCAACTGATGTCAGTCTATGATGAATAACAAGTTGAAATTAATCATGAGTTTATTTATTATTCTATTCTTTCTTTCTAATTCTAATAAAACTTTAGCTGGGTTCATTGAAAATTTTAAAGGAAATTACAAAAAATCCACAAATTCGTAAAGCTGTCGCAGATATTGGTGGTTTACAACCACTTGTAAATTTATTACGTAGTCCAAATCGTGATTTAAAATGTTTATGTGCTGAGGTTATAGCGAATGTGGCTAATTTTCATCGAGCAAGACGTACAGTTAGACAGTATGGTGGTATAAAACGCTTAGTAAGTTTAATATACATGTATACTATTAATTACCAGTTTATATTATATATTTAATGAGTTTTGTAATTTGCTTTTTTTTCTATGAATAGTTGGGTTATATGATCATTTTGATGAAAAGAATCCTATGGAATGTGTGTAGAGCTGAGTAATGATGAGTATGCATCGGTGAATGTGCATTATTCTCTGAGATATCTTTCTAAGAAGAAAAACTGAAGGTTAATGGTATGAAAATATGCTCCAGTGGTAATAATTTTTTAGTACTCAGACTCTTAGAACTTTTCTTTCAAAGTACTGAGATATATTTACACTTTCATGAGGGAAAAACCCATTTATAGTGTATTTGTAATTAATGTTTACACACAATGTTGTTATTTAGTTTTGGTATTAACAAATAATTCTAACAGTTGGTGTGATCACGGGCAGTAAGGTTGCTCAAAATATTACCGAAACCAAATAACATCACTGGGTGTAAACATTCATTATAAACTTATTTATAATAATATATTTTTAAAATGAAAGGGGACTTTAATTTTGAAGTAATATTCATCACGGACTGATACTAGTTTGGGAACAGAAGTTGGGAACTGTGAACCACTGAATCCCAACCCAGTGATTGAATGCTTAACACCTTCACCGTGAAACCTCAACGCTCTGAGTTCGATCCCTAACCGGTTCATGGGTGCGTACTGTTGAGGAGTTCCATACTAGGATGGAACAGCTGTCCAGTGCTCCCAGGTGTTCAGTGGTTCTTCAACTGATGTCAGTTCGTGATGAATACCAATTTAATTCTTTATAAAATGCACAAATTTCCATGGATATAACCATTCACAGTGGTTATGGTGAATTTATTTTTCACTACTCAGCTATTATATATAGAACTATCTGATTTCATCCATTTGTAGATTATCAATTCAAAAAGCTTTCCTAACTGTTGTAGATTAACACAGAAGAAATAGTGATTATTTTAACGAATAGTCCTATAAATGAACTAAATGTTGAGCTAGACAATAACAGATTTATTTGTGTGTTTCAGTTTCGTAACAAGAAGAATCTCAAAGTGCATTAATTTGAGTGAGGATAATATTGTATGAATCATCAAATCAATTGGAAACATATGATAGATTAACTGACTGATAAAAGCAACTTAGGATCTCATACACCAGTTCATTGTCTCAATTTACCACACTTCACAGTAGTACTCAGAGAGCAGGTGGATACAAAAGTAATGATATCAAAGAAGAAAGAGAGAATAAACAATCTGAAAATAAAGGTTGGTCTGAATATTCAGACTTTAGAAGATGTCAAAGAGTAAATAAATCTACAGCATTGTGATCGATTTTCAGCCAGTCACCAAATGTCCTCAACTAAAGACCAAAGATGTAAGATAGGAAGTGAATAAGCTAATGAATATGATGTGATTTCACTTAAAAGTAGTTGTGTAAAGATTTGGTAAAACAATAAGTATGAATATCAGTCAAACAAACTGAAATGCATTGAAACAAAATAAAATAAAAGAGGAGAAAGCTAGATGTAAGAAACCTGTGGTCAAAATGATAAACTAACTCCAGGGTAGTGGAAGGGACCATATAAACATAGTTTCGATTTAAGATTATGTATCGCCAAGGTTTCTGTGATGCAAAGTAGGTGTATGCTTGAATCTTTCGATAAATAATGTAAAATAATATCATTTAGAAGTTGTATGGTTGTAGTCAACTACATGGAGGATTGATAAGTCTATGCTTCTACTTTCCCCTTTGTCTAAACATACTACGAGGTGCTCTAAAATGTGATAAGAAATGTTTTTTTATAAACGTCCTACGTACCTAGCTCCACAGTCATATATAATTACGATTATACAGCTTGTGAAAATGAAACTGTTGCAAAGAGAAATTCACTTCAGTGAAACCTTTGTTTTACGTTGTAACAGGGATCGTTGATTTGAACTAAAAGTGTAAAATCATATTTCATTAAGTAAAGAATAGATAATGATTGTATCAAATGAAATCCTAGTTTACGTAATCGGTTGACTAATCTGTATATTTCGAGTTATCTAACGACTATCAGCTACTTTTTAAAAAAGATTTTATTCTTCTTCGGTAAAAGTTTTCAGACGGATACATTTATACTTCCATTATATAAATGTAAACTGGCAAAAGATATCAACCATTCACTGAAAACTAACAAAGAAAAATTGGAAAATAAATCATTAGAAATACTTTAAATGTCACTAAACTGATACTTCCCAAGTCTTTCTATCTAAAAAAGCGTAAAAATTTCAATTTCAGGCAACATTGAGGCACCCAGATAGGAGCCCATATGTCAATAGAGGTCGAACAATTCAATTCAATAAGACAACGGAGAATTACAAGTATATCAATAAATAGAGTAATAGAATTTAGTATTATTGCTTGTATTATCCCGTCGTTGATTGGACCGAATTGATCGGTCTCTATTGGCTTGTGGACTCCTGTGAGGATGTCTCAGTATACCTATGTTCTAGGTATAGAAAAGATAGATAGTGGTTAGCAGTGGAATTCAGGATGTGCACTTCGTCCTATTTGGGAATCATCAGGCACCAAGGCACCCGCACAGGATCCCATATGCTAATAGAGACCGATCAATTTGGTCTCAACGACGATATTATAGAAGCAATAACACTAAAACTATACCCACTGCACAAGAAGTGGCTGTCGTGGCTCGGTGGTCTAGTGGATAACAATCTGGCGTTTGAAGCGATCGCTCCCAAGTCCGAATCCCGGTGGGAACAACACCACTCACTGGGAGGCAGGTACATCCAGCTGATGAATCCCGAATGGGACGAAATGCGTATCCTGGATTCCACTGCTAGCCACTATCCATGTTTAAGGTAATAGAATTTTCTATATATCTGGGACAGACGCAGAATCATCCCGATTGCATGTATTTGGTGTTGATTTGATTAACAAGGATTTCGTCATCAATCTCTCCCTCCACCCAACTAAGTTAGTTTTTAACGCTATCGCTCTATCCCACCCTATTGTATGATTGTGTTTAATGGTGTCCAGAGCTGTAGCCGAGCTTCTTTGTAAATTTCTTATCTTGTTAGGTCAAATACATAGGTTAGAGTAGCCGGTCAGGGTCAATTAGAATAACAGAGCACAAGAACTTAGCTAAATCAAGATTAGTAGATCCTAATAAGATACAAAATCTAGAAAGAAGCTGGGCTATAGCCCTGCACGCCATTACACAGAATCATACAGTAGGGTGGGATAGAGCGACAACGTTAAAAACTAACTTAGTTGAGTGGAGGGAGAGATTGATAACCGAATTTTTGTTTATCGAATCAACACCAAATACATACAATCGAAATGATTCTGCACCTGTCGCAGATATATGGAAAATTCTACTACCCTTGTCATCACAGAGAAGGAGAGAAAATTAGGCTTATATAAACTCTATATAGGTAAGTTTTTATTTAGTCCCAGCATGTTTAGAAAATCGAAAACAAGATTTTTCTGAACGTTTCGCTGTGTATGCCACAGCTTCTTCAGCAGACACTCTGTCTTAAAGTTATAGAGTTATCTGATATGAATATAGACAATAAATTGTGTACGAAATGCTATCCAGTAAATGATACTATTTCACTGTATGACATTTCTAATAAACAAACCAAAATGGAATTCAATCTGTGTTCGTTATCGGTGACCAGTATATGACAAATTGTGAATGAATTTTTTGTAGCAATATTGTCAACAGAATTTCTGAATAAAATTACACTTTTCTGATAGCTTTGCATCAGTTAGGTTAAACTTTTCCCCAGAATACTATTATATACAGCTATAAAACTTTTACCCTTACAAATTATTTGAACCGAAGTTGTCACTGCCATCGCAGTTCTTCTTCTTCTTCTTCTTATCTGCGAAGATATCTCCTAAATGCTTATGATGGGTGTAATATCTTTTTTACTTTTAGGTTGCCCTACTCGACTGTCCAAGTCTGAATAGTGTACCAATGACAAGTGAAGTTGAACGTGACATTGAAGTGGCACGATGTGGTGCATTAGCTTTATGGTCCTGTAGTAAATCCAGAAAAAATAAACTAGCTATGAAGCGTGCAGGTGTGATATCATTATTAGTTCGTCTTTTGAAATCTCCGCATGAAAATATGCTTGTTCCAGTTGTTGGAACCTTACAAGAATGTGCTTCTGAAGTAAGTACACCCTTTTCCATTATATCAGTAATAATAAATTAATAAATAACACTCAAAGAGTTTTAATTTATTAGTTGTGACTGGCAGTAGAAAAAACGATATGCGTTTCTTCCTATTTACGACTCATCAGCTAGATGTGCATGAATCCCAGTGAGTGATTGTGTTTCCACTGAGACTGAAACGTAGCACTCGTCGCTTCAGACACGGGTGTTATCCCTTAGGCTAGTGAGGCAGGAGAGCAACCTGTTGTGTAATGGGTTATCTATTGATATTTGTAATTTCCCATCATTATGCCAGGTTAAATTGATCGACCTCTATTAGGTTCCTAAGGGAATTAATGCTGGGGTTTCATTACGTTATGTCGTTTGAATCGATGGATGCTGCGTTCAAGTCCCGGTCGGAACACAATCATTCACTGAGATGCAGGTAAATTCAACTGAAGCGTCCTAAATTGCACAAAACATGCATTCTAGATTCTTCTGCTAGTCAGCACCCACAGATCATAACACAATGAATCTTCAAGCATTGTCAAGGCATCTGCATAGAAGGCCGTATACCAACAGAGGTAAATGAATTTGATCCAGTATAACATCAGTAAATTACGATCATCAATAAACAAATTCCAAGAGTTTGTTTACTATCAAAGTTAGATATCATTTTTAATTTTATCACAATAGTAGGAAATCGGTTTCAACCAATTTAATATAGAATAATGATGAACATTTTACATGAAAATATCTTATAAACAGATTCTTTTGAGCAAATTTTATTAGTTTCACTGTGAGTTTATTTTTCCCAGAGGTACGACTTTCCATTTGGTATAACTAGTCAACTAATATTAGTTATGCAGGTAATAAACTAATCTGAGATTGAGATAGTAGAGAAGATTTGTAGCTTGGAATAAAAATGATAATTGCATTGATATTCTTCAATCTTTGACGTCTGTTCTTTGACATTTCATCATCCTTAGACTTGATGACTTAGCATAAACTTCGTAAATATTAAAACGTTTAGTCATTTTCACTCAATCAACAAATAATTACAGATTCGAAAACATTTGTCTCCCAATACAAATTTAAAATAAGCGAAAAACGTAATTAAAGCAAGATTTATTGAGTTCATAAATTTTAGTAGGACTCGTCAGCTGGATACACTACATACAGAATTTTATATAATGTTCTTTAATAAATGAATACCTACACGGATAATACAGACCGAGACATTGACTGAAGCATAGCAACATGCAGTGAATCATTTACTTGTGTCGAACTGAGCTAGGATTAGATTGATTTGACAATATCTCCACGTCAAGAGTTTTGTTCTAAATCAATGTAAAAGAGACATAATCAAAACCCTATTTGATAGAGCAAAGAAAATTTGCTCTGACAGTACGATTGATTATGAAGGATTTGTCAATAAGTATTCAAAAAGTAGACAATGCAAAACACCAGTTCTCATGGCTTCAAAAAGTCAGTATTTATTAAACTGCCTTTTAAAGGAGACGATGTTTTAGAAGTAGTTAAGCGGAGGTTAAACAGGGCCATCAAAAGAACTTATTATGCAACTAAGCTAGTATTTTTGAACACCACCAGGTCGGTGTGGTTGCAATAAGGAAAAGGTATGCCTCCAATTAGAAAGTACTTGTGGAAACAAATACATAGATCATACACAAAGGTATCTGTCTACTCTCATGACTGCGCATTTACTTAAGTGGTTGAGGTATGCCAAATAAAAAATCCTGCGGTGTTCGATTATGAAATACCTAATGGATTATAGGCATGACATTGACACCACTAAGACCTTCTCGGCCGCCAACAGATAGCGGAATAAGAAAATCCTTGAAATCATGGAAGCATGTGCCACTTGAGTTCGTAAACCAAGCCTATGTGTTCAGAGTCTACCAAAGTAGAGGTGTTGAAGTATTTCGAACTTATTTATTTTTATTCATAAAGGTCTTATTTTTCCACTTTATTTCTTCTGATACTTTGCATATTTGCCTCTTCACTGTCGTGTCCTCTTGAACTCCTTTGCTTACTCGTCAAATGACTTATCTCCATTGTTATTATCATGGTTATCGTCCAACTACTACTCTGGCCTCCTTTAGTATTACACTGTTACCAAGCTTGTTAATTGGTGTTCATTTACCTTGTTTCAAAATGAAATAATTTTTAATCTTTTCAATATTTATATTCTCATTGTTATCACTCACTCATACTATTACTACCATAATAAATGTGTTTATTTACCTAACACCTTTGTTCTCTTAGTGTGCACATTTATTATGCTATCTAGTTGACTACTAGTTGTTCTGTTCGAAATGAAGTAATCCATCCCTAGTCTTTTTATTTTTCATTATCAGTTCGTCACTGCCTCCCAACCTAATCCTAGCTCTGTTTGATATATGTACGCGATTCACACTGTTACTATGCCTCATTCAATGTTTTAGTCTGTATTATGTATGTATGTATTCATTTATTGCAAAACAGTATATAAAATCATGTATGTAGAGTAAAAAGCTGATGAGTCCTACTGAAATTTACAGATTCCTTTATTCTCCAGATGGCAGTGATCTCCATCTATAGCTCAACAACTGAGTTATTATGTACCTCACCTAGATAACTAGTTGAACATACGGCTAGCAACCCTTCCCCGGGGAAAACAAATCCAACCACTAAATAAACTTCAAAGCACAAACGAAATATAAAAAAACTTATTCCTCCCTGGAATCGGAGAGACGAAATGACACTGGTTGGTGAAAGCCGACCTTCGAGAAGCCGATTCACCGATATGCCTTCTCTCCCTCCATGAAAGCAAAAATAAACATAGTGACATGTAATGTCCACAAAATCTCCAAACATAACAAGGCTGCCTGGATTGCAAAAGAGATGAGAAGCTATGGCATGGAAGTGCTTGAAATCTGGAATGGAATGAAAGTGGACTCTCTAAACTGTCAGCTGGAGAGGAATCAATAATCTGCTCCGATATTCTCACCCAGACGAAAACCACGAGCACACTGAGTTTTCTACTGGCTGCCATGATGTCCCTCTCCCAACATCATCGAAGGCTCTCTGTCATGCGGTGGCAACCAATCTCCTCCTCCTCCTCCTCCAGGATCAGCATCATGACAGCAAGGTGCATTCAGTTCGAAAAGAAAGTCACAATCATAAATTACTACACCATGCACCTACAAATAGTGCAGATGAAGAGAAGAAAGAGGAATTCCACAGGCAACTGCAATCGGTAATGGAGAACACCCAAACCAAAATGGCGACAACAAAATTCGAATGGGTGGTGTGATATGAATGCCAAACTGGGAATAGACAACACAGGAAGAGAAGTCATGAATTATGGGTGGAGAAGCACTCAGTGAAATGATGAGTGGGAATTGAGAATTGTTTGCAGACTTCTGTGCATTCAACAATTTAGTGATTGGAGGCAGTGTCTACAAACACAAGCATATTCACAAAGCAGCCACTTGGATTTGATTTCACCAGACACCAGACACACTACACCCAAAATCCGATTGACTCCATCTCAATGTGGAGAAAGTGAAGACGCAGCCTGCCTACTGGACACAAGATCAGATGAAGAAGAGGAGCAGATGTGCGTTCATACCACTCACTGTCCAGTGCAAGGAACCTACCTTCAAAATCAAGTTGAAAGCCGAAATCAAAGAAGTTGGTGGTGGTAGACCACAGTTGAAGTTGAACACTCAGAAGAGAAACTAACTGAAGGACGAAACTATAAAGAAAATCATCACGTCAGTCATCAGGACAAGATGGGAGACATTAAACAACACAGTCGAGGAAACCTCTGTCGAAGAACACTGAACTCTTTGGAAGAGACATAGAAGGGAACCTGCACAACCGTGTTAGGAAGGAAGAGGAAGAGGAAGAGGCGAGACTAGGAATGGATCTCGACAAGTAGATGGAAGCTGACAGAAGAGGGAGAGGAGGATGGTAATGGTGATGGTTAAACAGAAGATGAACCAGTGTAGTGCAGTCCAGTGCAGGGATGAACAACGAAAAGAGGGACTGAACACAACCTATAGAAACACTACACTGGACAAAGAAGTGAAGAAGAGTGCACGGCAGGACAAAAGACACTTCTACGACACATTGGCAAGGGAAGTGGAACAGCCTGCTGATAGGGGAGACCTGACAACATTGTATCAAATAACCAGGTTACTATCTGAGATGGAAGAGATCAACGTAGATGAAACCAATGAAAGACAGTGAAGGAAACTTAGTTACCGAAGAGGAGAAACGAAGGAAACGATGGGCTGATCACTTCAAACAACTCTTGAATTGAACGCTACCATCAACACCTTCATCTCATGCAGAAATAACACCAGAAGTTGGTGTAATGCAGGAAGGCAGCATGACCAGACGGAATTTTTCCAGAAGCACTGAAAACAGACGTGGAGACAACAGCTGATATGCTCACACCACTATTGCAGACGATTAAGAAGGAAGAAAGGAAGGAAAGGTTGATTGGAAGAAGGTCTACCTTGTCAAACTCCCGAAGAAGGGATACCTAAGTGTCTGCAAGAACTGGCGTTGAATAATGCTCCACCACAAGCAAAATATTAAGCCGCAGCATCTTGGAGAGACTATAAAAAATGCTCTCGATCCAACTGAATTACGACCAGAACAAAATGGCTACTGGAAAAACGAATCATGTGCGGACCAAATCGTAGCGCTACAAATCATCGTCGAACAAAGTGTGGAATGGTAGTCAACTCTCTACCTCAACTTCATCGACTTTAAAAAGACCTTCGATCGCGTCGACCGAGAAGTAATTTGGCAGTTACTTCAACACTACGCAGTACCACAAATCTTTATCAACCTCATTCAACAACTATATGCTATATAATAATGCATGCCAAGTGATTCACAATGGAAAGCTCAGTGATGCCTTTGAAGTGAAGTGAAGACAGGGATAAGACAAGGTTGCCACCTACTATCAACTATGATCTTCCTGATTATGGTGGACTGGATCATGCAGCAGACAACTATGAGGAGCTGTGAGAAGATGGGCATACGCTGGCTGGACCGATGAAAAGACCCTTGAACATTTGGATTTCGCCAATGATGATTTATGTCTAATGTCACACAAACTCTACAAGCAAAACAAACAAGTTGACAGAAGAGGCAAGGCAGCTCACTCGATACCGAAGATCAGATGGATGACCAGAATAATAAGAGTAAGCAAGAAGGAACTCTGGCTGGCTGGCAACGAACCAACCAAGAACCCATCACCCATGAAATATGCCGAAGAAAGTGGAGTTGGATTGGTCATACACCGAGAAGGCCTATTGGAGACATCACGCGTCAGGCCAGACTGTTGAGTGGAATCCCAAGGGGAAACGACGATTTTGGCGTCTGAGGTGAGGGTGACATGGAGGACATGATGTGAGGAAGAAATGAAAGCTTGTGGGGACTCGTGGAGCAGGGTTTTGAAGACTGTAGAGAAGAGAGTGAAATAGCGACGTGCTACTGAAGCCATATGTTCCACTAGAAACCTATGGGATAACTAATAATAATAGCTGTACAACAGAGTTATTATGTACGCGAGTCAAACGACTTTGAATTCTAAACATTTTCATTTTCATCTGTTTTTATCGTTATCTTCGCCTGGTTCTATTTATTATTTATCTTATTTTCCTCTGTAGCGTTGTTCAAGTGTATTGAATCTTCACGCAGTACAGGTTTCTGTAAAAATTAGGATGTCAACACTATCAACGTGTACCTTTAAAAAGGAATTTTTATTCACACTTGGTTTTTTATATAACGCTATCCAGTTTTAGCTGATCCTATGCCACTACCTAACTTTTTAGATGTTCAAAACTTTGATTTTGTTATTACTAACTTTATTTATGAATAACGTACGAAAAGTGTATACCATAGTTTAAAACAATTCAAACATTGTTATTTATTTCCCGAATTAGGAAAGTTATCGTGTTGCAATACGTACAGAAAATATGATTGGTGACTTGGTGAAAAATTTGAAACGTGATAATGCTGAACTTCAAATGCATTGTGCTTCAACTATATTTAAAGTAAGATTTTAGATTTTCATGTTAAGTAAACCTAGTTTATGACAGTAATGCGAGTGACTAAATTCTTATTCATACTAAAAATATCTAGTAAACTTGATTTCCCAGTAATGTTCGTTGAAAGAGAAACCAGCCAGCCATACAGCGCTTAATGTGAAGGTTCTTTTCGTTAGGTGGCTGAAAGCAGCCGGCAGAAGGCCATGGACCTAAGTTTTGGACTTGCTGGAACTCCTCAGTAAGGTGTATTTATAACCTAGAGACGACCTATGGCCTCTCAGAGATATACGCCCACATCAATCAGTGTTTAATTCAGAGACAGTACCATAGAGCCATTCAAACAAGGATGAATCTTCGGGAGTGGATTATTATCATTTGACTATCTGAGATAGCCGTAGTTTGTCCCACTAGTATTTATGCTGGATGATGATTGAAGGTGAAATGAAAATTTCGACTGTAACCGGATTCAAACCAACAACTACTGGGTTTCTGGCACGTTGCTCTGCTAACTGAGCTACGAGGTCCGACTGCTGACCAGATTTTTATTTCACTTCAGTTCACTCGGTAGAAAATCAGCCTGGGGACACGGTGGCCGATGGTTTGAGTCCGAGCTCTGTGCAAATTTTCATTTCACCTTCAATCATCACCCAGTATCAACACTAATCTGCCGAACCACCACTATCTCAGATAGTTAAAATGATAATTAATATGATGTTCCCCCTCTCTAGTTCAGTTAGCATTGGATTGAGATGAGAAGTCCTGATTGGATAGCCAGTGTGATTACTGTCAAGTGGTAGTAATGCATCACGAATTCACATTATAGTCGGGGAAACCTTTGGTACGTTTCCTTCCTTCCAGACCTTCTGCAATAATGGTGTGAGCATGTCCGCTGTTGTCCCTGAGTCTGCTCTCAGTGCTTCTGGCGGGATTCCATCTGGTCCTGCTGCTTTCCCCGCATTTCAGTAGCTTTATGGCGTTCACGACTTCGACTTTCGTTAGAGGGCTTGTGTCAACTTGCAGTTCTGTGGCTGTAGGCGGTATTTCTGGACGAAGTGCAGGTGGTGGTCGATTCAAGAGTTGTTTGAAGTGATCAGCCCATCGTTTCCTTCGTTTCTCCTCTTCGGTAACTAAGTTTCCTTCACTGTCTTTCATTGGTTTCATCTACGTTGATCTCTTCCATCTCAGATAGTAACCTGGTTATTTGATACAATGTTGTCAGGTCTCCCCTATCAGCAGGCTGTTCCACTTCCCTTGCCAATGTGTCGTAGAAGTGTCTTTTGTCCTGCCGTGCACTCTTCTTCACTTCTTTGTCCAGTGTAGTGTTTCTATAGGTTGTGTTCAGTCCCTCTTTTCGTTGTTCATCCCTGCACTGGACTGCACTACACTGGTTCATCTTCTGTTTAACCATCACCATTACCATCCTCCTCTCCCTCTTCTGTCAGCTTCCATCTACTTGTCGAGATCCATTCCTAGTCTCGCCTCTTCCTCTTCCTCTTCCTTCCTAACACGGTTGTGCAGGTTCCCTTCTATGTCTCTTCCAAAGAGTTCAGTGTTCTTCGACAGAGGTTTCCTCGACTGTGTTGTTTAATGTCTCCCATCTTGTCCTGATGACTGACGTGATGATTTTCTTTATAGTTTCGTCCTTCAGTTAGTTTCTCTTCTGAGTGTTCAACTTCAACTGTGGTCTACCACCACCAACTTCTTTGATTTCGGCTTTCAACTTGATTTTGAAGGTAGGTTCCTTGCACTGGACAGTGAGTGGTATGAACGCACATCTGCTCCTCTTCTTCATCTGATCTTGTGTCCAGTAGGCAGGCTGCGTCTTCACTTTCTCCACATTGAGATGGAGTCAATCGGATTTTGGGTGTAGTGTGTCTGGTGTCTGGTGAAATCAAATCCAAGTGGCTGCTTTGTGAATATGCTTGTGTTTGTAGACACTGCCTCCAATCACTAAATTGTTGAATGCACAGAAGTCTGCAAACAATTCTCAATTCCCACTCATCATTTCACCCAGTGCATAAGAAAGCCATAAATAGCTAAATGAAACCCTCAAGAATGTCTGTAGACTAACTTGATGTCGAGAGGTAAAACAAGGTTGGTGTTTACCCATGAACTCACAGGAAATATGTTTATGTCGATATTCTGAATATTGGTTCTATCCAAGGACCAGACAGTTTTCTTTTACAAAATGCTGTTGTACTTAAACCTAAGAATCCCTAGTTCAATTTCCATTTTTAAGCGTCAATATGGTTCAGCTAGAAGGCTATTATCTGTGAACAGTTTCTTTCTAACCTCCAAGAGAATCTGTTCACACAAAGCAGCATTCATAATTTTTACCCTGTGAATATTCTTATTTTTACAGTGTGCTGAAGAACTTGAGACACGTGATTTAGTCCGTACATTTGGTGGTCTAGAGCCATTGATAGCTTTACTAAATAAAGAAGATAACAAAGAGTTGTTGGCGTCGGCTACAGGAGCTATTTGGAAATGTGCGATTTCTAAAGAGAATGTGAAACAGTTTCAAAAACTGGGAACAATTGAAAAACTAGTCAGTTTATTAAATGAACAACCAGAAGAGGTAGGTTTGTTCATAGTTAGTTATGCCTATGTTGAATTTTATCACAAATTAGGGCACCTGACTATGGAAGATTAACAGCTATAGGCATCAGTTTCCTTCTTGAAGACGCTTTAAACCTATTCTATTTACCACTAGTATCATATTTAAGTAAATTTCATACACTAAAGTTTTGTTCAGCATCTCTTACAGAACTACAGTAACTAATACACAATATATAAATTCATTAATTGTATTTTATAGAGTTCGAGATCGAAATCTGAACTGACAGAACTGAATAAATTAAGCATTGTATAAATGGTTTAAATGGTAGCTGGTTGAAATCCTGCCGCGGTTAAAATTTTCATTTCACCTTCAATCATCACCCAGTATCAACACTAATCTGCCGAACCACCACTATCTCAGATAGTTAAAATGATAATTAATATGATGTTCCCCCTCTCTAGTTCAGTTAGCATTGGATTGAGATGAGAAGTCCTGATTGGATAGCCAGTGTGATTACTGTCAAGTGGTAGTAATGCATCACGAATTCACATTATAGTCGGGGAAAACCTTTGGTGATTGAAGTTAAGTGAAAATCTGATCAGGTGTCGGGTCTCGTAACTTAATTGGTATGGTAGCAGGCTGGAAACCCGGTGGTCACCGATGCGAATACTCCCATGACTGAAATTCTCATTTCACCTTCAATCATTACCAATTATAAATACACTTATGAAATCCTAATGAGGTAGCCATTTATTTTTCTGCCTCCTTTCCTCTTATGAAAGATATTTTTTGTAAAATGTATAAATCTTTGGAATTTATCTTTAGTGGTGAATTGCGCCCATTCAAATTATGAACGAATACTTATCTGTATGTTGATTCATGTACTATCCTATGGGTGACTGAACTGAATTGATCAGCTTCTATTGGCATATGGACTCCTGGGGGGATACCTCGAAATTGCCTCTCGCTTTAATTGTATAATAATGACCGATGGTAGCTACCAGTAAAATCTAGGATGCGTATGGCAGTGGTAACTCGGTGGCCCAGTGGACAACGTTCTTGGTTTTGAGGGGATTGGTTCCCGATTTGAGTTCTCTTGGGAACAATACCATTCACTGGGGAGCTAGTACATACAATTGGCTAGTCCCAATTAGGACGAAACGTGTAGACTGGATTCTAGTACTAGCCACTATCCATCATTACTATAGAATACTTGTCTGTTTCATACGTCATTATATTCATGATTTATCCTTAAAACAATAATGAAGATTGTGTGCATCACAGATTCACATCAGTTGGACAATCACTTAAATCCTGAAAGTAGCATACTTCTTAACAGTACGCACTCATAACCTTGTTAAGGATCTAACCCAGGAAATCCAGGTTTCATGGCTAGCACTTTATCACTGAACCACTTGGTTGGAATTTAATCCTCCATATTTCCTTACTTCTGTTAATTTGCGAAATAGTGAGAACATCGCCCATTGCCATCGTTGAGTATTTGTGCACACGTACTGCATGATTTGCTTCATAGATCACAAATTCTCATTGGATCTTCAAGAGATCCATCTCATAATTATCCTCTAAATATATTTCGTATCCATGAGAATAGGCGGAATACCATAAACAAAGTAAGGCATAATGTGAAATTATTTCAGTATCAAAATATTCAGTGCTATGAGTAACTGGGGGTCAAATCGAATGGATGTAAGTTTTTATCACATGGAATAGTAAACAGTCTAGTGTGTTAGTTGTGCAATGAAATCTATATAGACAGAAAGGTTGGGAAATAAGAAGAGAAAATCTAGAATTAATAGTTCATTCATATATACCTCTCTGAGGTATGAATGTGTTCTGCAGTCTATTTGATAGCTATATTTGAGTGTTTTTTTTTAACTAAGGGTTAAATAATCACTATACAGCGATGAAGTTATATTCACTTGCGGTGAAAAAAATCATGTTAAATAAAATAACAAAATGTATAAGAAATGCGAAGTGTTGCATTACGTTTGAAAGTGCTTATTGATGATGGTATGAATGAACAAAGATGCATAAAATAATAACATTAGAAAGTGAATGTTTACCAGTGAAATGAGTAGTAAAGTGTAGAAGGGGTATTAGGTTAAAATCAAAAGTCTATGGTAAGAAAGTTCATAGAATAAGTTGACTTTACTATGGGGCAAGGTAGACAAAATGGATGTCGATATTTCTTTTGAACTCATAGATCAAGTTTGCTTGAGTTGATTCCTATAGCTTTGGCTATAGATAAGAGGTGTAGTTGTTCCTCTTTAAAGAGATTGCAAGCAAGACAATAAATCACCGAAAAGGTGTGATTTGATATCCACTATCTGCTATGTGAGAAGGAACTATTCTTTGTTATTCCTTTCCTAAACCAAGTTGGCACATTAATATAAGTGTAAAACTTGGGCACTGTGGTAGAATGTAATTCCATATTAGATTTGTTTATTTGATATAAAGCGCACAGTGATACAGTATTATTTACTTGATTACGTTTCGAGCATAAATTATTGCTCATAATCATATCAATGTAATCACACTTCTTTCGACATCTGATTTTATAGTCCTGTCACCTGATTTTTCTTTGTTTTTTTGATTGGTAGTAAAGTTTTCCATATCTCTGGTATAGGTGTTGCGTCATTCCTATTACATGTGTTGGGTGTGGATTCGATGAACAAAGATTCAGTAATTAATCTCTCTCTCCACCTAGCTATATTAGACTTAAGTACAGTGGTTTTGTCCCATCCTATTGTGTGGTTGTGTGTTAATGAATGTAATGCAATGGCTGAGTGTTTTTCTAGGTTATTGATCTTATTGGGGTCTGCCGTTCTATGTTTAGCTAAATTCCTATGTTCTGTTAATCTAACTGACCCCGACCGGCTAGTTTGACCTATGTATTTGACTTCACAGTCATTACATGGAATTTGGTAGATTATATTATTTTGCTTAATTGGTTCTATCGGATCTTTTAGCCGACAAAGCTTACCTCTAAGTGAGTTTGTTGGTTTAAATGCCACCCTAATTCCAACCTTGTTGAGAATCCTACGTATGGTTTCTGATGTTCCTTCCTTGTATGGTATCACAATAGAGGTGTTGATTTCCTTTCTACTTATGTTGTCACTATTATTTGTATTTGTATTAGTGTTATTATTTTGCTTCTTATGTGTCCGTGTGAATTTCTTAATAAAATGATGGGGATAATTATTAATTATTAACGCTTCTTTTATGTGTTTCAATTCCTTATTTAAGTCCTTACAATGACTAGTGAGTTTCTCAGCTCTGTTATTTAGACATTTGACTAAACCCGCTTTAACTGACACTGGATGAGATGACTTGAAGTCTAGATATCTGTTAGAATGTGTTGGTTTTCTGTAGACGGTAGTATCTAAACCACCATCTATCCTTCGTTTTATTCTGCAATCCAACATAGGTAATTCTCCTTGTTCATTTTCTACTTCGTAAGTGAATTGGATTGCGTTAACTACTGAGTTTATGTGTGTCAAGAAACTGTCGATATGTTCCGATTTCAACACTGTAAATGTGTCATCTACATATCGCCACCATATCTTAGGTGTCGGATTATATGTTCGTAAAGCCATATCTTCCCAACTATCCATAAATATATCTGCTACTATAGGGGATATTGGTGATCCCATTGCTACTCCTTCTGTTTGTCTATAAATCTTTCCCTGAAACTTGAAGACTGTCGAGGTTAAGCAAAATAATAACACTAATACAAATACAAATAATAGTGACAATATAAGTAGAAAGGAAATCAACACCTCCATTGTGATACCATACAAGGAAGGAACATCAGAAACCATACGTAGGATTCTCAACAAGGTTGGAATTAGGGTGGCATTTAAACCAACAAACTCACTTAGAGGTAAGCTTTGTCGGCTAAAAGATCCGATAGAACCAATTAAGCAAAATAATATAATCTACCAAATTCCATGTAATGACTGTGAGGTCAAATACATAGGTCAAACTAGCCGGTCGGGGTCAGTTAGATTAACAGAACATAGGAATTTAGCTAAACATAGAACGGCAGACCCCAATAAGATCAATAACCTAGTAAAACACTCGGCCATTGCATTACATTCGTTAACACACAACCACACAATGGGGTGGGACAAAACCACTGTACTTAAGTCTAATGTAGCTAGGTGGAGAGAGAGATTAATTACTGAATCTTTGTTCATCGAATCCACACCCAACACATGTAATAGGAATGACACAACACCTATACCAGAGATATGGAAAACTTTACTACCAATCAAAAAAACAAAGAAAAATCAGGTGACAGGACTATAAAATCAGATATCGAAAGAAGTGTGATTACACTGATATGATTATGAGTAATGATAATTTATGCTCGAAACGTAATCAAGTAAATAATACTGTATCACTGTGCGCTTTATATTAAATAAACAAATCTAATATGGAATTACAAGCTGGTACATGTTCACGAACGCACATAGATAGAGCCTTTTGAGTACGGTCTATTAATTAGCTCTATAGGAGCATTTGAACTCATAAATCCACATTGAAGTGGCCATCACTGGTAACCTATCTTTGAGTTGCTCTGTCAGTAATGGTTTGGTTAAAAAGCTGACAAAAAGTTTCATTGCAGTGAATGTCCTTTCGGCTAATCTACTCAATCGGCGGGTTAAGATATCAAAGGCAGTACCACCTTTGAAATAGTCTAATCTCTACAGAGGCTTCTTACTAACTTTACCCTTCTTTATTATCTCTCTAGGTTTCAACATATATTTGTTTATGAAGTTTAATGGATAAAATGTAGGGTGCTGCTGCGAAGTCTAGGCCACAGCCTACACTGACTGATCACTGGAAAGCAGCCAATCTCATGTTGTCAAGCATTGAGTCCCGACCAAATTCTGTCAATCATATTTGTATTGTGGCCACTAAGGTAGGAGACCTACCATTTCTATGCACTTTGATAGATGTCAGTTAGTTGGAGGCAGTCAGCAGGAAGTCCT